TGTTCCATCCCCCTGAGCATTTTTGTGACCCTCCTCTGGACCCGCTCCAACAGGTCCGTGTCTTTCCTGTGCTGAGGGCTCCAGAGCTGGAGGCAGTGCTCCAGGTGGGGTCTCACCAGAGCAGAGTAGAGAAACAGCAGGGAGATGCACTTCAAATACCAAAGAGCCATAAGGACTTACAAATGTGTGACCTCTCTGCAGGAAAGGGCTGGTCACCACATTTGGTGCACCAAGTATTGAGCCTGAGAGACGGGTGAGATGGTTGGACCTTGCCCTGTCAGTCAAATGCCCACAGGCACCAGCAGAGACAAGCTGCACTCCTTGGCAGGGGAATTCATTTCACTCTCAGTAAACAACTATATGACATATCTGAGCTAGTCATACTGGTTTCCTTTAATGTGAAACTATACCTGGCTGGAAGGGACAAAAGGAGAGGCTGAAGGATCAGCTGGAGAGAAAGAAAAACTAGATGAAGAGCCAAGTAATGGAAACCAAGGAAGAATGTGAGTGACAGTGCTGAAGTCAGATGAGAGGTGAGGAGATAAAGAAAGGACAGTTTGAGGTTTTGGCCTGGAAAAAAAGCCCCAAGTCTGAAGGTGAAAGCTGTTTCAGATGTGCAGAAAGGGCAGGAGACCGGAGAGAGCTGGAATACATTCCTACTCAGATGCAAACCCTCTCCCATCCTACAGTTCCTGGTGTGTCATGACTGCAGGATGCCAGTTTAACACTCCCCGACAGGACGACTGACCACTGCCAGCTACTGGCAGAAACGCTGGTGTTGTCTCGACATGGTAAGAACCAGCCATCTCCTGTCCAGTCCATCAACAGAACTGGATCTGCCTAACTGCCTAGTTCTTGAACTATAAATAAATCTAATCCTTTGGGGAGGTACATGCCAAAGGCTAAGCAATGCAGCAACTGCTGATCAGTGCAGGTTTCTTTATCAAGCAGAATATGTTAGTCCTACACAACTCTCCTCTGAGGAAAGGATTTCTGCAACAGTAGAGAAGCTTTTATCTCAGATTTAATCCTTCCATAGAGGAGGGAGAGAAGTGCCACCACTGAGAGAAAATGGTTTCCTTTGCCAAATATTCTCCTTCTGTTGGCTGACAAAATCTTTCCTTAGTGAAGCTCCACACTCAACTCCCCTCATCTAATATTTTTTAGATATCCAGAGAACATATGAACCTTCTTAAAAGCCTAAGAGATGTTCTTGATTTTCATCCCAAAATTCTTGCTGTAATGCAACTGGCTTCCCATATTAATGAAATATTTGATGCAAGCCCACAGATGGTCACATCAGTAAACAATACATCTAAGATGGTCACCGTGACGAGAACAGCCCAGTCAGGGACACTTCACGGAAACACAGACCTCCAGAGGCCTCAAGAACAACCTCCCACGCAAAGTAGGACTAGTGTCCACAGTATGTGCCGTGGCAACAGTCGGGCTGGAGGAAGGTCACTGCCTAGAAGGCACAGCAGATGAAACTGGTACCTCTGTATTGTTGATTCATCCCAAAGATGGGCAGCTCCTCTTACCTGACGCAGGGAATATTGTTTGAAATGGCAAATTTGCTGTAGATCTCCCTCTGTGACAGGAACTGATTGAGGTCTCCATTTTCCATGTACTCTGTTATCATGCACAGCGGGTCATCATGCACACACACCCCCAGAAGCCGGATGATATTTGGGTTCTTCAGCCGTGACATGATCTTGATCTCCTTCAGGAAATCATTTCTTGTAAAACAGAAAACACAGGTTCGAATCCTAAACTATTCCTTTGTCTAAGGAAAGCAGAAGTGGCATGTAAGAAAATCTCAGTTCGGAAACATTTACACTTCTGCACACAGTAAGTTTGAAAGCTGGTTCTGTGCTTGCGTTCAAACATTGACCCCTTCCCCAGCAAACAGGATTAATACAGCATTTCAGTTTGACATTACATCTACTCCTATACCCCAACTCCCTGCTTGTGTCCTGTTCCTTACATGAACACACAGAACATACGCTAGAGACATATGACACTCTCTTACAGAAGTCACCAGGGTTAACCCATGTGAAACTGTTGCCTGGAGAGTATTTGCTTTCCTTCTCAGATGGTCAGCATTGCGGATGCACTTACCTGGCTGTTTTGTTGACATCTGATCTCAGCATTTTCACTGCTACGAGAACTGGCTGGTGAGTGAATTCTGTAGGTGAGACTCCCAGGAATTCCAGCAGGCCATCGGCTTCACAAAGGTGCACCTGCAGGGCACAAGGGAGAGGCAGCTATGAGAGCATGCACAGGCAGAAAACCAGAGGAAAACGACGTCACATTGAGGTCACCAGTTTGGTCACCCCTGGCAGAATGACCAAGTGAATGATCTAATGAAGGTGACACTGTTCTGATCAGAAATAGCCCATAGGTTGACCCTAGATCCTGGACAAAATGTGTACATATGCTGTATAGCCCCTGACATTGGAACGCACATGGATTGCAGCCTGATGTGTCCCCAGCGCACTGCACGCGTGCAGATTGGTGCAGTAGACTACTGGGGCAGTCCAATTTGCCCAGCAGGTACTGGAGACGTTCAGGAAGGCCACTGTGCCTGGATTTGTCTGCTTTGCTCTGCACGTGCATGCAAACAGCATGGCTGCAGCATGTTTGGCATGTACAGCACATCACACCAGCCATACAAGTCCAGAACTGTCCTGCAGCCTGGCTTGAGTCACTGCTCAAACTTAACTGAGGAGCATCCAGGAATTACAGACAGCTATCCGAAGTCCTCTATTTCCACCCCCACCCCACCAAAAAAGAGTGTGTGTGTCCATGTGTGTGCGATGTGAACATCTCACCTGTGAATATACCCAAAGATGAATACTCTGATGAGTACACAGAATTCCAAGTTTCTTCAGATAAATAAACGAATAAAGACATAAAATTACTGCCAGGGTTGTATAACAAGGGGTGACAAAACACTTGCTTAAGAAGTTATCAGAATGCATATTCAAACGGAGAACGGGGCAAGAGATGCTGGGGTGGGGAAAGTAGACAGACCTGAGTGTGTGGGATAGGAAAAAGGGCTGGAGGAGGGGAGTAGACTGGATGTGTCAGTCAAAGACTCGCAGCAGTGAGGGGAATGTAAGGGAACTTAATGAATTTTGTATGAAAAAAGCACCAAGAACTTGTGGCGGGCACGGTGAGGAGAAAAAGGAGACAGCATAGAAAATGGGACAAACCCACATAACAGAAACAAGAGTACAAAGATGCTACTGCAGTTACAAGGAGAATCAAGTCTGCTGTGGTGAAAGTACAGTCACGAGACTAGGAATTGGAAAGAGAGCCACAGTACTAAGCGCATGTATTACAAGCGCAGGTAATGTGTCACTGAGTCCACGGAGTGGATGATTAGGAGCAAGAAAAAAAGATTGAAAGGGAAGAAAGCTCTGAGTGGAGACGTGAAAAAAGCAGTGAGCCATGTTGCTAGAAGCAAGACTGCAGCCAGAGCAGTGGAACAGAGCATGTGATGATGACCAGTTTGGTAAAGACTAAGGAGGTGAGGAGGAGAGATGGGAGAATGCAATGTGGCATGTTTGCAAAATGGAGATGGAATAGCCTAGCTGCTGCCAGGAGGAGGAGGAGGAGAAAGCTTTGACGGTTATTAGAAGGACAGGAATGAGAGGGAAGGAGAAACCAGAAGCAAAGCAATGAGAAGAAAAAGCCTCTCTGTTTCACTTTTGGAGCACAGCCCAAGACAGGGCAGGATCCAGGCAACAGCAGAAGGGGCTACACTGACAGCCAGGTGAAGAGGTTGAGGATGTCAGCACCTTCCCAATACACAGAGTGAGTGATCCAGAAAAAAGTGAGGGGGACAGGGAAGGGGCTGGGGTAGGGAAGATGTGCTGTCAGAAGGGAGGAACTATAAAGATGGGCACATCACAGAGGAGGAAGCAGTCAAGGGCTGTGCTTTGCCAAAATGTAGTAGACAGGTAGAATTTAAGGCTGCAAATGAGCAAAAGCTGG